CTTAAAATTAGGTATCACATGTGTATTATAAAGGATATTATATGTTAAAATTTCGTCTGGTAACTGCTTCAAAGTGAAAAAAAAAGTGACATTTTACTATGGAACTGATTGTGAATGTCAAAGACCAAATTCAGAGAAATAGTGAAATTACACTAAATGCTATAAGCAGTCTATTCACGGACAAGTTCCTGAAGAGGGAAGTAGAATCAGTGTTTTACATCGCGTTTAAGCCCTTATTTCACGAATACTACTATAGCATTTGACAGTTTATGACACAATAGACAAAGAGGGAGGAAGAGGTCTGAATAGAAGATGACCCTCCCAGGTCGCGCACAACGACCGAATACCCCTCCAGACACAACTCCACATTGTAGCTGGATATTTTATTACTGTATTATCTAATTATTATGGGAAACAAGCCAAACTGCTGAAAATTTTATGTACAATCTTTGACTTGTAGAATTTTTTGTGGTGTCAGTTTTGTTGAAACTCAAGTATTTAGAATAGATACTACAGAAACGATGAAGGGGTTATTGTATGATTTATTTCTGTTTCTCAAAATATGGGAAAGTTTAATTTGCTTTGGGATTAGTAAGTTAGCATGCCAAGTTTGGTCTGGATCGGTCAACTCGTTTAGAAGGAGATGCGTTCACAGACAAACAGAACGTTTTCCTGTTGGGCTATTCTTACCAGACCGAATATAGGGATATTAGACATTTTTAACTATAGTATACACTATCCATCTCCAACTGTTGGGCTATTCTTACCAGACCGAATATAGGGATATTAGACATTTTTAACTATAGTATACACTATCCATCTCCAACTGTTGGGCTATTCTTACCAGACCGAATATAGGGATATTAGACATTTTTAACTATAGTATACACTATCCATCCCCAACTATTACTTACCTCATCGATATGGCTATGTATAACGTATATGTGAAAAACACCTGTAGTCCGATATTTATACATGAAACAAACATTAAATTAACTATTTTTTTACAATATCAGTGAACTATTAGACACTATCTCCAAACTGTTTTATAAAGATTTTTTCTAGGCATTTCTTCGACGTTTTCAATGAAACATTTCACTACTGCTCATGATCATCATTAGCAGTGTTTTTCATCTTCAATGCAGAAGATTGGTTTATCACTGTCATAAAGTTGCAAAGTTATAATGTTTTTGTATCTTTTGCGAATGGGCACTTTTAACCAAGTTGATAAGTCTATTATTGTTCAGGAAGCAACACTGTTTAAAGAACAAACACAAATACATACAGTAGTGTTCAAATTTATTAGAACACTTCAACAATTGTCATTTTACGGGAATTACACATAAAATAGTCACTGATTTGCTATAGAAATCAACTTGTAATTATTGCCAATGAATCTTACAGGAAATTATTATAAAATTAGCATCTCTGTGGCATTGTGTCCCTGTATTTTCTCATGCATTTGATTCAGCTATCTTTTAAAGCTTGTGTAAGCTCGACATTTCTTTGAAGCGCGTTTGGGATCATTATTTTCTTGAAATATGAAACTCTGCCCAATCAGCTTCCTTCCAGATAGTATAGCAAGAAGAACTAATATACTGTGGTATTCAAACTGATTCACCAATTTTGTGAATATGGCCAACACCATTAGCAGATACTGTTCACCAACCTGTCATAGAGATTCCTGCATGTTCGACTGTTGGCACAAGGCACTCCATCTGTGATATCTTATTGACTCTTCCACGAACAAGAACTTATCTGTTCATAACACCTTGTGTCACTGTGCTAAATCCAACGATAAATGTTATTTCGCAAACGCTAGTCTTTTCTACACTCTATTTGTGAAGTATTTCTGCTATTCTTCCTCAAAGGTCACATTTCTGCAATGTTCTTGAGACTATACTTCTTGAAACTTTATCTGTGCGTGACTTGTTA